TTGGAGTTCGTTTTTTCATATTTGATCCATCTTCTTGCGAAATCTTCTACAGAATTAACAATGTTTATTAAATTACGACTCAATTTGAAAGTTTAAATCCCTTTAAATTGGCTCATTAATAAAAAGTGACTTAACTCCTTATATATTAGTATTATTTAGAGAACGCGACGGGTTGTATATAGTAGATACCAATAAGGGGGGGGGGCAGTCCGCCCCCAAATTTTAATCTACGATACAGAACCTGTCGAGTTCTCTAAATGATTTGTGAAACGATGAAAAAAAGAAAAAGCAACGTCCACTCTATAGCTTTGTAGCATCCAAACCGCCAAATACGCAGACTTCGTTTGTGAGGCCTTGATAGGGAGAATGCACCCACAGTATATACAGTGTATATTTCCACGGACAACGTCAGATTATTTTTGACAACGGGGAAGACGCTATTGACTTGAAGTCAGTCTTAATTGATAAAGTGAATCTTGTTGTAGAAGAGATTGATCCCAATTTATTTCAGGGGTCTTAAAATTTCGGTTTAACTAATTACACATACAGGCGATACAGACAGTTCTTTGATGACTTGATGTCAGGGATTTTTATTTCTTATATACTGAAACGCAAAAGAAACGCAACACCCTACATTAGGGGGAAATAATTGTGTAAAGTAAAGAATTCTATCTTCAAATTACATGTATAAATATCTTCAATTTGGTAAAAATCGGTAATTTAACGGTTGAACGATTTTCAGACCAATTAACCGGAAGTCAAATTTGACTCTGCTTAACGGAAATCAATCAAAGTACTCAGAAGTACAGAGAGCCGGGCTCATTTACAGAGTAGAATGGATTTCTTACATGAATCACGTTTATATTCTGATGAAAAAATTATTTTAAAACTATCAATATAAATGATAAGACACTGAAAGTGAGTTTTTCAATCCTAATATCACGGTCCGATTTTGTCAGAATCAGAATTAATCTGGTACCGCAGCTGAATGTAAACAAACAGGCCAGTCTGGTTCCCTCTCCTGCTTTACCTCGTATGTGCAGAGAACTACGGTAAACACTGGTTATCAAAAATCCTTATGCTAATGAACTATGTTCTTTGACTTATGAAGTTTTCAAAGTCATTACTACTAATGTTTATTTTATATAGATAAAACTTCGTTTTATTTTTGTTGCTTTATCTAGCGTTTGTATTATCTCAAAAGCGGTTGAGAGTAAGAACTATATTTTTGCACGTAACTTTAAAATGGCGACTATGGGGTCAACATCCTGCCTTGAACAGGATCACATAAGCCGGCAATTGCTCTTTGAGCAATAAGCCCGGCTAAAAATTGCATGTTTAACAAAACATTTGGCAATATTATGGAGTTTTAAGGGTTTGTACTGTTCATCTTAAGTAATGCAGTAATATTTCAAAAAAAAAATCTCCTTTCGTTTCCCGTTACGATGCTAAAGCCTCTTGAAAATGGCTTAAGTACGCATTTCCATTGCTCCAGCTGGAAAATCTCACAGTAAAGGTGGAGAGTTGATGATGCAAAAATACACTATATAACGCCTCAACGGGGTCTTACTTATCATATGCATAAATGATAGTCCTTGGACCGGAAGTCCAAGGGTTACTACAATGCACTGAGTTAGAGAAAATTCACATTAAAAACCCAAGTGAAAGAGAAGTCTTCAGTGATAAGGATTTAAGAGGAAACATCAAAAAGCTAAAAATGGAATTGAATGATTTTGCCAGTGAAGAGTGAAAAAGGGGGGGGGGGTGCGAATTTTACCAAATGTATGCTTCATCCGTGAAGCCATGTGCTTTACTATTTTAAAGGGGACCCAAAGAAACAAGGAAAGGAAACAGTTTTTCAGGAATTTAACTACACTGTACATTGGGCATTTTTGTTACTGCCCGTTTTTGTTTGTATCGAAATAACGTGTAGATTATGTTTGGAATTAATTTTTAAAAGTGATAGAGAAATTTTTATATACCTAGAAAATATTTCTCCAAAAATTATAATGGGAAAGTAACAACTATTTATCTACTATTTGTACTTGCTTTTGATAAATTGAATTAGATTTATTTTTAGAACGTTCTGTATTTTAGATACAGACTAGTTGGCTAATGGAACACGATATAGTACATACAGGGCTAATTCAGAACGGAGAGTAGCTCCACCCACTGTGGTCCCGTTCTGTTTTGCTAATACAGAACAGCAAACGTCAAAGAGAAACACCGCTATCATGTCACAATCCATATTTACGTCACCAGTAATGACGTGCCCCACAGTACCCAACAACATGAACACGGTGTGGGATTACGTTTTAGATGCTTGATGTTGAGGCAATCTAGAGTTTTTATTCCCCGTAATCGAAGATTTGGTGGTGTGTAGTTTGCTGTTTGTTGTCCGCAAAAAAAATTGACATTATTTTTTACTAGGATTGTTTATGGCTTTCGTATTTCCCAGGTGTATTTATTCCCTGAAAAAAGATTTCTTTGGTTACCATCAAGTTTAACCTTTTGACCTTGGAGTTTAACCCTATCTTACAAAAGAAAAACTTTATAATCTTAGTCATAACATTTAAATAGTTGGTGCTAGGGCTTTCATACTTCACATTGTGTTTTGTTACATGAATTATCAATAGGTAAAGGTATCTTTAACCTTTTGATATTGACCTTAGAGTTTGACACACTTCGTAATAAACCCAACCCTTGACCAAAACTTTTGAACAGTTGCTGTAGTACAAGGGCTTTCATATGAGTGTATCCCATATGAAAATACCTTCTTGATACCAAAAATTTTGACCTTGAAGGTTGACTGCATTTCAGAAACAACTTTCAATTTCGTTCGATCTAAGCTGTCATATAACGTTCCACAAAACTCTTATTTTTTTTATAGAATTTAAAAGGTTCGAAGCAATTTTCAATGTGTTATTTTAAGAAAAGAAGATGTGGACTTACACTTGAAATATGTTAGAATACATGTACAGGATCTTTTTCGTGGTTAAGAATTTTACCTATACATGTTATATAAACCATGTCAGGGGCGTAGCAACACTTTTTCCCCCAACCTTACCTATACCATAGGAAATGTTAATTGAAAGCCTGGTTGCCCCCCCCCCCACCCACTTTTAGACTTTTAGTGATGTACCAAAAATGTAGCATTAGAATTGGTACTGAAAGAAGTTGTCACTAAGATGATTAAAATACCCCCCCCCCCCCCCCCCAAGAAACAGGATTTTCGACTTTGGGCAACTTTTTCCTTTTTTTTTTTGGTTGTCAACTTTTTTAGGTAAGTAAAATTTTTTTTCTCTGGCTGGCCCCAAAGGTCAATTCCTTTCTTGGCATATTGATGTTAATTGTTTCTTCCATCAAACGTGGTGGTTTAAAGAACATATGATTCGCAATTTCCATAATCACAGATCCGAGCCCCTATTCTGCCGTCGAAGAATACAAATAAAGGCTTTCCTTGACTTTTACAAATAGTCTATTCAAAACTTTTAAAGAGACACTGTAAAGTTTGCTATGAATGTAGTTAAGGCCCAACTGTTCATTTATACAAGGAAGTAGTGAATCAAAAGAGACATATTATATTGAAAGCTTTTAGTACAGTTGATTTCCAGTAATTACAGGCGAGACATGTAATAAGCGCCACCTTATGGCATTGATTCTACGGAAGCTTATTTAGGACCTATCAAAAAATATTTTTGAATTCGATATAACGAATTGCCGAATTTGTTATTACAAATCTAATTCGTTATAATAACAATGTCTTTGAATTTGTTATGATGAATTTAATCTGTTAAAATAGATTTGTTAAATTCGTTATAATAGATTCAAGAAGTTCAAATTTGTTATAACAAATTAAATTTGTTAAAACGAATTCAACAAATCGTTATATCGAATTCATATATTTTTTTCTATAGGCTTTATTGTTGAATTTGATCTAACAAAATTTGATATAACTGATTTTTTAACCGATTTTGCAATTGATAGGTAGGTTGACGTCGTTGCAGTGTGTTTTTGACGTTATGATAATCTATAGCTCATAAAGAAAGGGGTAATAAAAATATTATTACAGAAAAAGTAATAAACATACACTCTTGAAATTTAAAACATAGAAATTTGAGAATATCTCCAATATTCTTATTATGATTTCATGTGAATCCATTGTGTACGTCATATTTTGTAATACTCTATAAAAATAGTAAAATTTGCTAATTTTTTTGTATTTTGAGATGCCCCCTCTGGTAACAAGACGGTAGAATTTTGTGGTTCTTACATATATTGTATAATATAGTATTACTCATCAAATATTATAGTTTGAACAAAATGTGTATTGTAGTATTTGTATAATTTGCTTTAAAGTGCTAAAAATTGGCATTTTCCTATATAATCCTATAGTAAATGTACCTGTATTTTAAGACGGTCCCTTAAGAATACCTGGACGGTAGATTTCCCCCAAACTTTGCATGTACTCTGAAGTTAATGTTAAAGTTATATATGGTATAAAAATGAATAGTTTCGCTATTGTAGTTTTCACACAATAAAACTATAGTCGGCCCCCTTAAACGAATTAAATTCGTTATAACAAATTCGACAATTCGTTATATCGAATTGAAATATAATTTTTGATAGGTCCTAAATGGGCTTCCGTATTGATTCTTATCGGTTGCTAGGTAACATAGCTTATCAATATTCTAAATGCAGCAAAAATGCAAGTAAAGAAAATAGACATATTTCTTGAGTGTTTGGTCATTTTTTTTCTGCTTGTTGCCTATAGGTTGCGAAAAAAGCACGCGTAAGTAAATTCCAAGTTTCCTCTCCTAGATGCTGATTGTAATATCATAAAAGCAAGTTTTTTTTCGGAATATTTAAATAAAATTTTCTTTTCTGTTAAAATAAATGCACAAAGGGGCGTTTCGATCTAATATTCTTTATTGGACATATGAAAATATGATGGATTCCTGTAAAGACTGAATTAAGATATTGTAAAGAAAAAAAATTACCCATCAATTCCAAAGATTTGTCTACAGATCACATTGGCATCTTTATAGTCCCAATTGTCACCACATACTGTCCCCCATGTTCCATTCATGTAAACTTCAACTCTTCCTTGGCCTAAAGAACTTCCGTTTATGAGCCGAACACCTGAATTATATAATTATTATATATTACTAGAAACTCTTATTGCTAGAGCAACAAAAACGGTCTTGCGTTCTCCTCTATTTATCTGTATGAATGAGCTTTTATCTGTGTTAGAAAAGGCATATAATATAAAATGATTACAGGAAAACAAACGACCGGAGGTGTAACTTACCAAGATTCTCGACGTTACTTAGACACGTATATATGTAGTATTAATAACATTTATAAAAATCATATTCAATTTTTTATCACTACCTGTGACGACCGGAAGTGACGGCAGACGTATTTTACCCTATATCTGTTGCCCAATTTTCATTTATTATTCATATAAGTTTAGTGTCTTGATCTGTTACAGTTACAAGAGATCTCGTAATGTTAACTTCTCATTTTGAAGAGAAGAAATCACGTGACCGGAAGTAAATTTTAAAAAAGATATTCGAGGTTACTCTAAACATTTCAGTCTGAATAACATGTCCTAAGATCATTTCAAATACTCTTTTTAAAAATATATTTATTGGGTAGTATACGATACTCAATTTATGCAGTTTTTCTCTCATAACTGGAAGTTGACGTTTTTGTTTCCAGTGGGACTGACATATTTCAAAACTATAAATAAGATGCTATAATATAATACTAAGAGAGATTCCATAAAGAAAAGTTGAAATTTTTGATTTATTTGATCACTTTCTGTGACAACCGGAAGTGACGGCGGACGATGTTAACCCAAATGGATTTGCTTACGCATCAAGATCTACCACTCCTACAAGTTTGGTGTCTTAATCTCTTACCGTATACGAGATCTAGCTATGATAACTTCTCATTCTGAGGATAGGAATCACGCGACCGGAAGTAAATTTTACATAGATATTTTACGTAAATGTAGACATTTGCAGTCTGAATAACATATCCAAAAATTATTACAAACTTTTTTTTATAAAAGAAAAATAGTTATGAAAAAGAAAAATACTCAGATTATGTAGTTTTTGTCTCATAACCGGAAGTTGTCGTTTTTTTTTGTAATGTAGACATTTGCAGTTTAAATAACATATCCAAAAATCATTACAAATACCTTATCTATAAAAAATATTTATGGGAAAGAAAAATACTCACATTATGTAGTTTTTGTCTCATAACCGGAAATTGTCGTTTTTGTTTACGGTGGGATTTTTTTTTTTTTTTTGAAACTACAAACAAGATGCTATAATGTGATGCAAAAAAAGGTTCACAAAAGAAAAGTTGAAATTTTCGAATTTTTTTTAATCACGCCCTGTGACGAGCGGACGTGACGGCGGACAATCGTAACCCAAATGGTTTTGCCTAGTTATCAACATTGGCCTGTATTGGCGCTTATAATAGTAGACCGATGCCTGCATTAGCCCTTGAGAAAGATTCACATTGCCTACATTGGCCCTTTTGATAGTCGTGCAACCTGCATTGGCCAACGATAAACACATTGCCATGAGAAATTGTCATGAAACACTGGCATTGGTTTTATAATAATAGTCATCAATGCATTGCAAGTTGATTACTTTCCTAGGTTTAAAATACATATTGTATTCCTTTAACGCCAAATTGCATTAGTCACTTACATTTAGATCAAATTCGATTGCATATATTATTAAGACAAAACACAAATCAGAATGAGGATATGGAGATAACAAACAGTATTCAACATCAAAGTCCATAAAACAATACAAAATAGGAGCAAGCACGGACCTCCAAATTATCCGAGGTGGGATCAGGTGCCATGGAGGTGTGAGAATCCCCTGCTGACAGGTCATACCCGCCATGTGCTCCTTGTCATGATCGGGAAATGACGGAAAAATTCGTCGTCAATTCAGTGTATAAATAGTTGACTAACAATTAGTATGAAAAACGTCAGTCAACATTTGACTTAATGATAAATTGTATTTGCTGACAATGTCATTGTATCGACCTAAGAACTTATGAAATGATGACTTTAAACGAGACTGCTGAGATAAAAATTACAAGAAATTGAATGGAAATCATGTCATTGTTCCCGTAAATACTTGTATCAGATGAATTTGGAAATAAGTGAATAAAACCGTACCATTTGTTTCGGACTAATTTTGTAATCATTTTCAACTTCTTTTATAAATCTATTGAATTATATCATCTTTGGTAATAGAAGTCAAAATGTCTTTCCAAATTGCCCATAACATCGAACTGAAATTTTAAAAAATAATGTAGACAAATTAAAATTAGTTGAGACTCCATTATTTATAGCTTTAAATACTTACACTCCCAGCAACTCAGAATTCAGCACACATGCCTCCTCGTATTTTCTATAATTGTTTTATTGGAGTGCATTATTCATATCGTTAAAATACATTAAAATATATACATAACTGTCTTAGTTTTCAAAGTATTTTATTGAATAATAGGAGAAATACGTCCTACAAGGTATTAAACAATGCGATTTCATCACTATTGCCTGTACATATCCGTGTGTTCAATTCCACACTCAGTGCTTATTTACATTTTAAATATTATTTGATGAAGTTATAGTCATTAAGTTTTAAACTGATCAAATAAAAGCACAAGTACAAGTGCGTGTTTTCAAAAACATTGATAGCAGCATAAATACATGATAAAGTAGGAACCAATTATACTTATCTTTATTCTACATTTTATTAAAGCTAAGGAAGTAATTATAATAGTCATTTAAACTTTCAGATATTTGCAACACAAATACATGCACCTTATCAAGAATTGTGATAACAAATAACAACGTTACGTGGGAACCTATTATACCTTCACTCATAATCTTTGTTATAGTCACTTTGTTTTGTTTTAAACTAAGGAAGCTACAGTAATTTAAACTTTCAGCCAATCAAATTACAGCAAACGTATATGCGCGTGTTGTCAATAACTTTATATATAGCATATTGTAGAGCCTTATGATATAATACATATACCTTAAAGTTGAAGTGTTTCGTCAAAATACAAGGGAGGTATTAAGATGTTTGTTTTAGCCAATCAGAGCGAAGTGCATGTGCGTGAATTCATCAAAATTCGATCATGTCAGCTTGTCTAGGCTACTTATTTATTTTTTTATATTACGAGTTTCGTGTAGTTTCTCAATAATTCTAAAAGAAACAGTTTTATCATGTATATCAGTCATTTCATTCATGCACGCATGTAGATGCATGTTGTAAATTTTAAGATAAAATAAAAGATATAATAAGTGAAATAAAATTTTACATCCATATTTATACTAGTAATTATTTGCTGTCAGTAGGTAATTTGCAAATTTAACATATGACACCGTTGTTTTCCAATGTACTCGATAAGAATTTTTATTGAGTATCTTATAGCCTCCTAGTTAAGGTCAAAGTTTAGTAAACGATAGGTGCCTAGCAGCCTTCAGATTTCTAAAAATTGAAGCACAGATTCTTCTATTGATCATCCTTTATACATGTAAAAGTAGCTTGGTAAAATTGAAATGTATTCGGACTTAATTTTTAGGTTCACTAAATGAAAATTCATATCTCTAAATGCCGTTTAAGATTTAAAAAGGACTTTTTATATTTAGGGGAGTTTTACAAGACATCAGACTCTCAGAAATCAGGTTTTCATATTTTCTTGACCTTTCTTTAAAATAATAATAACATTAACAAAGTGGGTAGCGGATTACGTTTGACAAAATCTTGAAGTGAATGCCAAGAAAATTCTTTATTTTCTACATAATTCTAATTCTGTCGTAAAGTATAAGGGGAAAATTAAGCTAAAATAATATCAGATTTTTTTTTAAAACTAAATGTTTAAATATGCATGGCATTCAATTCAAATATATGTCGAAAGTAAATCTGCTTCTTTATGTTCATGTTATTATCATTTTAAAGAAGAGGACAAGCTAGACGAAGATATGCATACATTTTTTGTGAGAGACGGTAGGCAATACATTTCCTGCGTTAAAAATTGAAAAAAAATAATTGATATTGATACAGGACATTCTTCTTTTTTAATTGACAATGGCAGATTGAAATAAGATTTTTCATTGAGTTTATCAACATTTTAAGTCCGGATACATCTTATTATATCAAGCTCCATGTACATTTATAGAGGATCATTAGAGGAAATCGTTTCTCAATTTCTAGAAATATGTAGGCACCTTACATTTACTAGATTTTGGACGAACCTCATTTAAGATGTAATATAAATATGTATTCAAAATGTATTCAATCGAATTTTCCAATTACATAAGTTGTGAAAGTATCATAAAGGAAATTTATAAACATTGAGAATCAAGAGCAGAAAAGATTTTCTGTCATTCAGTTATGAAATATACATGACTGTTTTTTTATAATATAGGCAAAGGTATCTGAATAATAAATTTACTCTGTTCGATAATATTTCTACATCACTATTTCTTCTAGGTCTGTGAAGGCGTACCTATTTTTGCAGCTTCTGTTGGATCATCATTAGGCAAATTTTTTATATTCTCGGTGATTTGGGTTTTTAGATCGCTCAACTCTATCCTGTATTTATTCATCTGGGCCTCCATCAGATTTAAATGAGAAAGGATAATTTTTTTGGCAGTAGAGTTTATGAAATACTCTAGATTCTCAGTATTTGTAAGAGGACATCTTTCCATCACACTATCTTCACTGAAGATATTTTGACCCGCCACTGCCAAAATTGACCATATCAGTGGTAGTACTACAAGTTTAGCTGTATCCATCTTGCAATCTATAAAGAAAGCGACAAATTATGAAAAAGTTTTTCGAAACATATTTTAAACAAGATGTGTACATGTTTGTGACACACTGATGTTTCTCACAAGAAATACAACTGTGAAATATGGAAATCCTAACACCACCTGTTCAAAAGTTATATTTGAAAGGTAGGTCAAAGTCCTAGGTCAAAGGGTCAAAGCTGTTGGTTTCAAAGGTCTTGTAAGAAGGATTATATTTGTGAAGTGTGAAAGTCCTATCCTTATCCGTTCAAAAGTTATGGCCAAGGCTAAATTTTAAACAAGAATAGATATGGGTTACCCCATATCCAAAGATATTCGACTTTTAGATTCAATATGTTTAACAGTGTTTAATGACGTTTATAAAAATAAAACTGCACTGTCTAGTTATAGAACTTGTGTGAATTTCGTGAGTCCGTAGCATTACGGTCACCCGTCTCCTAACCATGCTAACAAACAGTACACATACCTATGTCCGCAAGACAGTTAGCCTTGGTCTATACACACGTGCGATGGAGTTATCAAACGGACTCCCGCGAACAGAGAAGTTACGATGGCAGACAGAACTTTTTTTCATAATTAGATCACATGAATACAAATTCTGATTCATAAAAATTAAACGATTGTCAGTTTAGAAATCCCCGGCCAGTTCGGGTTTTGTTACACATTTTACAGGTACTCTCCCGATGTGTAGTTTGTCTACACACGTGCAGGAGTCTGCTCAGGGATTGAAAATTCCGTCATTTAATATACTACACACACAGAATGATTATTTTTTTTTCTCTTAGAGGAAACTATATGATAATTAACGAACAATTAACATGATTTTACTACAGTTGTTGATATAGTATAATCAATTCATCAGTGAAAAAATATCAACCGAAGAATGACCTAGATATTCTCTGTTATCAAACATGTTAAAAAAAAGCTGAGGAGGGAGCGAGCGTAGGAATATTCACATTTTTTATTTGCATTTAGGGGGGAAAGTGATCTTTGGAGGAAAAATTAACATTAATTTTGGTTTCTTTAACGAATGACATACACAACATTATTCTTATCATGAATTTAACAATTATGTTGTATCTACTTATTAATGATGGAACTATTTTCGTCGGAACAATTTGTGTGAGTCGCCGCTGACTACAGTAATATATCTTGAACTAATAGTATGCACTGATCGAATATATTAAAAAGGAGGTCAAACTCCAATGTCAAAGGGTCAGATTTCGGCAAATCAAATGAAAGGTCACAAGGATTAAATATATGAAGTATGAAAGCCCTAACACTTGTCGATCAAAAGTTATGGCAAAGGTTTTTTTATAAGTACGAAAATCTTCATGGTTAATGTCAAAAGGTCAATCTTTTCACAAAGAATACACATTTGAAGTATGAAAGTCCTAGCATCTACCGTTCAAAAGTTATGACCAAAGTAAAAGTTTGGAATTTTTGTGTAAAAATGGGTCAAACTCCAAAGGCAAGGTCAAAAGGTCAAATTTGGTGATATCAAAAGAAAGATCTTGTCCAACGGGATACACATGTGAGCAGCAACTTTGTGGAATAGTTTACCGGATGCTCTCCGTTTCCAGACGTCACTTTTAACTTTTAAACGGGATCTTAGGACTCATATTTTGAAGATAGCATAGTGTAATTTTTATTTGGAACAATTTATCGAGTTTTATTGTCCTCAGACTTTTTATTTTGGCAAAACCTGTATTGTGTGAAATTTTTAAGTTGACCTTAACTTGATCTTAGTTTTGCACCTTATAATTTTAGCTTACTCTTATGTTAGTAACGATCTCGTACTATAATTTTAAGTTTTAGGTTTTTATGATTATTGTCTCTTTTTTAACTACTTGTATATCTGAGACACTGTCTGTTCAGCGCCTTAGAGTAATTTATTTTAAATAGGGCGCTATACAAATGTTATTATTATTATTATTATTATTAAATATGAAAGTCATAACTCAACTAGATCGAAAGTTAAGGACATACTGGGTTAAAGTCATATATGGCGTATTTTTGATAAATTCATACTTACTAAAGTTAAAAGATCTTTCATTTTGTTTGGTACTTTAGATAAAGATAGGGCTTTCCTGTAAATTACACAATTTAAATCAATCGCATTTCAAAGATATCACAGATTTAAAACAAGATCCGATTTCTTTCCGACTCGGAATTAAATCAACAGACACAGTTTAACATCAGTATAACTATAGAAACGTGGAGAGAAAGTTCAAAATCGGTGTAAATTTGAATTTGAATGTAAATAACAAATACCATGTACCACGGTATATCTGCACCTTATCTCGGATTTTAATTTTTTTTAGCTCAGTTGCGCCATATACAGCTTTAAAGTTTATTGCAGACTGACAGACAAACCGACAGATAGATAGACAGATAAATAGATAGATAGACAGACAAACAGACGGAACGACACGACGAAAAATATATACCGTCGAATCTTCGATTACGAAGGCATAAAAATACTAACAAAGTTCAACACTTTAATAGAAATTGAAGTTGATAATAACAAGAAAAATTATTGTTTGACCGACAATAAACCAGATTTTCCTATTATTTTTAAGCCCCTGTAATCGAAGATTCGTTTGTTCGCAAAGACTTGAACCTTGTCCGTACCTTTGATTTAGTGGAGCTAAGACTTTCATGTTTCACATGTGTATTCACAAATACATCTTGATTTCTTAAGTGTCATTAAAACTATTGTGTCAGTGACTGTACTGAACCCCCAGGGGTATTAATTTGAAGAAACTTAAATCTTGACTACTTCAGCACATCTGTTAGGATACTTCTATGACTGGGCAGATTTGAATTTAAATACTATATGGCTTGGGGATAGTGCCAAAATAATAAGACTTATCATGGGTTTGCCGTCCTCCAGAAGATGAAGTTGATTAGACTGAAGTCTTGTTAAAATGAAATCTATTAGTATCATTTTTTTCAGCTCAGTTTAGAAAAAAATGCTCAGTGTACACCTGGAAATGGGTGCGCAGTCGAACATACAGTAGTATTTTTCTACATCAGGAGTTATATGATTATATGTTGACTTCGTTTGTCTGGGTTTTAGGCTTGAAATATGAGATATTCAAGTTTCTTTTGTGAAACTTTATACTGGTTTAAAGTCGTATCAAATATTATATATTTTATATTACTTTGTCACATTCTAAGGTTGGCAAAGGGAAGGATTTCATAATAGCCGAACTCTTGAAAAGATTAAGCTTCTATATTCGGCTTTGTTTTTAATAAATTCTGAATGTTTTGTGCATAAAATCTAAATATTAAAAATCTAAATCATATTAAAAAATAAATGCATGATGATATCGTATTTATTGTTTTCCAAAAGGTGACGTTCTTTGAGCACTTTTTAGCCAAATACGATATAAAGTTATAAAAAAAAAAAAAACAAGATATGTTTGTGAAACACTGATGCCCCCGTAAGGCAACAGAATGAAAATTAATCTTTTCTTAAATGGAAATTAAATTTCTTGCTACCCAAGTTAAAGTCTTTTCACTGAAAATACAGTTGTGAAATACGAAAGCCCTAGCACCGCCTGTTTAAAACTTATGGTCAAGGATGAGATTTTGAAAGGTAGGTCAAACTCAAAAGGTCCAAGGGCCAAAGTTGTTGATGTCGTAGGAAAGGTCTAATGTCACAATGATCACATGTGTGAAGTATGGAAACCATGGCCCTAACCATTCCAAAGTTATGACCAGGGTTAAAACTTTTAAAAACTAGGTCGAATTTTAAGGTCAAGGTTGACTCAAAGTTCTTGATATCAGATGAAAGGTCTTGTCACAAGGATTAAATATGTGTAGTATGAAGCATTAGCCCCGACCTTTCAAAAGTTTTGGTCAAGGTTTGTCTTTTAAAAAGTAGGTCAAACGTCAAGGTCAAAGAATCAAGGTTCTTCATATCCAGTGAAGAGATTCTCACAAGGATTACATATGTGAAGTATAAAAGCGCTAGCCTTACCGTTCAAAAGTTATGGCCAAGGTTAATTTTTTCATAAGCATAAAAATCTCCAAGGTCAAATGGACTTAATTATTGGTATCCAATGAAAGGTCTTGCCAAAATAGATACATATGTGAAGTATGGTTTTTCTAACCCTAACCGTTCAAAAGTTATGGCCATGGTTAAACATTTTAAAAAGTAGGCAAACTCCAAGGCATGTTTGTCCACAAAAACATGAACAATGTCCATAACTTTTGATTAAGTAGAATTATGACTTTCATATTTCACTTGTGTATTCCCTGTGACAAGACCTTTCTCTGGAAACCACCAAAATTGACCTTGAGCCGTGAGTTTGACCAATTTTTCAACAAAAATTCCAATCTTTTACTTTGGCCATAACTTTTGAACGATGGATACCATGACGTTTATGCTTCAGGTATGTATTTTTAATGGGAAGACCTTTCATTGGATACCAATAACCTTGACCTTTGAAATTTCCGTATATATGAAAGAAAACTTTATCCTTGGCTATAACTTTTGAACGGTGCAAGAACTTTGACATTTTGATCTTGATCTTGGAGTTTGACCTAGTTTCTAAAAAAAATTAACCTTGGCCATTAAATTTGAGCGGTAAGGGCTAGGCCTTCCATACTTTACACATGATATCCTTGTGAATTTAGACTTTTCTTAAGAAACTAACAACTTAAACTTGAGAGTTTGACCTTCGTTTTGTTGCCATGCGGGGGCATCAGTGTATCACAATCATATCTTGTAATTTTATATGTTATTGTGAACAAATTTAATACATTTTTTTTTAAAAGAAACTGCTCATAATCAAAGATGGAAACAAAATTTTAATAATTTTTTCAGAACTATTATCTTGTTTACATTCATGTCTCTTCTTAAAATTATAACAATTAAGTTAGCATAGGTTTTGAAGTAATATTACTACCAGGTATGTAATGAAGAAGTTTTCAGGGATGTTTTGATTTCCATTCACATTAAATATGCCTTCTTCCTAC